ACAATAAAAATTTCTTGTCAAAAACTATAAAGGATACCACAGTTCATCACTTTAATTTTTTTAAAAAAACCTGAATTTAAAAGAAAATTGCTTAGAAATGCTTTTTGTGCATAATAAACTTGTGTTAAAGGAGAATAACAGTTCCAATAGGTTGCAGATAATGTGAACTTACAGAGGGATGTGCTTCAGGGGGTTATTTTTGCAGATGATATTTCATATGGATTATGAACTTTGCCCTCCATATTTCAATAGGAATTTATGTGAACATCTTGCCAAGAAAATACTGGGAAAAAAAAGAGCTGGGAAAAGGCAGCCAAATACACAGCAAAGTGCTGAAGTACAAAACAAAAGTACTAATAAAAGGAAAAAAAAGATAATTGTATAATGATTCACAAACTCAAGCAAGTCGAGATGGAGGGGGCACCTAAATTTCCTTAATGAAATGAATTTCTCTGTTCTGAACCACTCAGTGGCTTCTTCTCGTGTACTTGGACAAGTCCAAGTGCTTTGTGAAGTTCAGCATCAGTGGCAGGGACCTTGTGCTGGCTCCTGCAGCTCAGAGGATGCAGCAGGGAACACTGACTGGTCAAAGGGATTAGAGCATCTTGCATTTATGGATTTTAAAAGTCAGATCTTTCCAAATGAGGGATTTGTGTGTTTTTGTAGGCTCAGGGAAGCAGCCAGCTGTGAAAGGTTAACCTTTGCTGTGGGATTTCTGTTCTCTTTCGTGTGAGACACAAACTTATTCACCATAACAACCACTGAAAACTGTGTGGCATGAAACAGTAAAAATGGAAAAAGGCAGCAATGCCCATCCTTGAAGGAATATTAATTCAAAGCAGCTTCAATTCCATAATGGAAAGATGTACAAAATCCCATCATTCAGAATGGCAATTTTGAACTGGAAGTGTTGGAGCTGTTCCTCTAATGTGGGTATAAATACTGGCAAATCTGCTAAAATCTGTGCAAATAATGCCTGATTTTGGCTTGGATTCACTTCTGACTTCTGTGACATTACCAGTGTGATGTTAGATACACACAGGTGAAATATGTTCAAAATATTTAGAATTGCATGTGGGAAATCAGAGTATATAAATGAATTACTTCTTTACCAGGTTTTATCACTTTGTTTGCATTTTTTTTTATTGTGAAATTATAATGATATTAAACTAAGTTTTAACTATGTTACGAACCAAAAAATTTGAATAAAAACACAATGTATTAATCAGTAATATCTATGTTTTTGGTGTTAATGAATTGCAACTTAGGTTTTTGATGATTTAATATATAATTTTGTATTCCTCCCAACTTCATAAATGTTTATGATATTGCTAAGCATCAGGAGGTGCAGCTTCTGTAGCTCACTCCCAGTTTCCTTAACCACAAAGACCCAGAAGCAGGAAATACCAGCACAGCCCTCAGGAGGGTGTTTGTAGCTGTGGATGCCAGCTGACCCTCTCCATCCTCTCCAGGGAAAACGTGCACACTTGTGTAGAAAGAATTGGCATTTCCATCCATCAGAGCAGGCTGTACTTCCTGGGAAGCTGGGAGAAAGATGGCACGCAGGAGTTTTAAAGTGTAAACTGATGGCAGAGGATCATTGCAAAGGGAAAAGATCTTTGAGGACACTTAGAGACCTTAAGAAGTGTCAGCCTGCCAGACCCACCACTAAATCCCATCCCTGTGCCGCTTCCACGCATCTGAACGCACCTGGACAGCAGATTTGAGAAGCAAAAGGGTTCCCACCCATTGCCATGGACTTGGGCATTACAAGTAAAAACAAATAAATACTTTCCTGCACCTCTCAGAGCCTTTTTTTGCCACACAACATTATTTCTGGGAGCTGACACAGTGCAAGGAACACTAAGGAAAAGCACTTTGGTGGGCATTAGTTAGGTCTGCACCACTTAAAACCTGGAGTGCCTTCAAAAGAAGATACAGTCCACAAAGCAATAAAAATGTTCATATTTCAGATGTACAGCTGCTACCTGAATAATGAGCCCTCAAAATGAGTGATATTTGTGTAATTCTGTTTTTGCTGAGTGAAGTACAGCTGCCACACCAGGGCTGTGTTTGAGGAAGCTGCCAGACACACTGTGTTTAACAACTCCTGACATACAACAATCTCACTGCTGGAATATTGTACAATAATCCAGTCACTTAAAGTCCTTGTCCCAACATTTCCAAGTTTCCATGCTGCAAACCCTCGTGTGAGCAGAAAAACATTCTTACAACAATCTTGCTATTCTTTTTTCCTGAACTTGATCAACTGATGGATTGTCCACAGTGCAATTGTTGGAGAGGGACAAGAACTGTTAATTAAATTGGTAAATGGACATGCAGCAAAGCAGATGTTTGAAACACAGAAAGCATAATATAATATAATATAATATCATATAATAGAATAGAATAGAATAGAATAGAATATATGTAATATATGTAATATAATATAATATAATGTAATGTAATGTAATGTAATATAATATAATGTAATTTAATGTAATGTAATGTAATATAATGTAATATAATATAATATAATATAACATAACATAACAACATAGCATAGCATAATATAATATAATATAATATAATATAATATAATATAATATAATATAACATAACATAATATAACATAATATAATATAATATAATATAATATAATATAATATAATATAATATAATATAATATAATATAATATAATATAATATAATATAACATAACATAACATAATATAATATAACATAACATAATATAATATAATATAATATAATATAATATAATATAATATAATATAATATAATATAACATAACATAATATAATATAACATAATATAATATAATATAATATAATATAATATAATATAATATAATATAATATAATATAATATAATATAATATAATTAATATAATTAATATAATATAATATACCGTGTCTAAATGAATGAACAATGTGTGGGAAAATGTAAATGTGAGATGCACACTCCCCACCCTGCTGCTCTCCTTTGTCTCCAGGCTCACCCAAGCAGGAGGTGGTTTCCATTCTCCAGGGTCACTGATTCAGATGATGCCTTTGACAAGAGCGTGTTCCCCGTGCCAGGGGCCTGGCTTTGCCTCAAATCCACCTCAAGGGGCTTGTACTGACACTGATCTAATCTTACAAATTCCTTGTATGTGATAGCCCTGAAATGTGCTTTTTCTAACTATATGTGTACATGTTCTAAGATTATTCTGCCTCATTATGTTCTCTCTGAATTAATGAATTAAGGCCTAAGAATAAGTGATATCTCAGCAGAAAGATCACATGGGTTTTGGTGTGATGTTTGTTTTTTGTGCTATGAATGAGATGCTTTTTAACTGTGGTACTTTCCTCAGAAAAAGTTCAGCTCTCTGGGCTGCACTTTACCTATGAAAATTTGTTAGAATTCCCTGACATCCTTTACCTAACATCGTTTTGGACAAGACTTTGCTCCAGTCCAATGTAAGAACTGACTAATCAGTGTTTGCTTTTATACAGAAGCAGTATTTTCAATGGACAGGACTTTTTTCCCCCACTGTGAAGAAACAGTAGAGAGACCCTGATTACAAGGGTTCCTTTATATTAAATGCAGATGAGTTTGTTGATTTTTGCTTTCTGGTGTGGGTTTTTTGTTTTGTTTAGTTTGGTTTTTTTACTGGAGGGGTTGTCTCTGTTGCTTTAATCATGCAAGATAAAAACAGTTAAACAAATGACCAGAAGAGGTGATCAATGCTAGAAACTCCTTCTGATCCTCATTTATTCTGTTTAGAGTGCAAGCCCCTCTGGAATTGATGGGAATTTGGTTTGAGGCCCAAATTCACAAAGATATTATGGAGTATCTAGCTTCTAGTCCGTTTCCTGGAGTCTGGCAGCCTTTGGGAATTTGGGCCTCCAGCATTTCTTTTAAAGTCTTCTTTGAACGTGCAGTGAAATTCTTGGGGTACAGCACAAGGAGGAAAAACCATGTGGAAACTGGGGAAGACACACACAGATAACAAAATGATGATGTTGCTCGAATATTTTTTAGAGAAATTCGAAGGGAATCATCGGTCAGTGGGGTGCTGGCCAGGCAGCTGCAGGTCGGGTCCCCCTCTGAGCCCAGAGCATCTTTTGAGAGCCTTCTCTGGCAAGCAAAGCACACGATGGAGGTTCCACACAGCTCCCACCGCCCTCTTCCATCCAACCTGTCCGGAACACCGAGAGAACGAAGGGCTCGGCTCTGAACGGGGAAACTCGCACTGCTCCTTTCTCTCAGCATCTCCCCCTGTCGCTCAGAATCTCCTCCTGTTCTCTCAGCATCTCCTCCTGTTCTCTCAGCATCTCCCCTCATCTCTCAGCATCTCCCCTCATCTCTCAACATCTCCCCCTTCTCTTTCTCTCAGCATCTCCCCTGTCTCTCAGCATCTTCCCCTGTCTCTCAGCATCTCTCTGGTCTCTCAGCATCTCCCCCTTCTCTCAGCATCTCTCTGGTCTCTCAGCATCTCTCTGGTCTCTCAGCATCTCCCCCTTCTCTCAGCATCTCCCCGGTCTCTCAGCATCTCCCCGGTCTCTCAGCATCTCTCCGGTCTCTCAGCATCTCTCTGGTCTCTCAGCATCTCTCCGGTCTCTCAGCATCTCTCTGGTCTCTCAGCATCTCTCCGGTCTCTCAGCATCTCCTCCCCGCTCTCGGGGCGGGGGCTCCGGCGGGGCTGCGGCTCCTCCCGCTCCGCTCCGCCCCGACCGCCGGCGCTGAGCGTGGGGCCGGCAGCGGGGCCAGCGGGGCCAGAGGAGCCAGAGGAGCCGGGAGGAGCCGGGAGGAGCCGGGAGGAGAGGAGGAAAGGCCAGAGGAGCGGCAGCAGGCCCGGCAGGAGCAGAGGAAAGCCCGGCAGGAGCAGAGGAAAGCCCGGCAGGAGCAGAGGAAAGCCCGGCAGGAGCAGCAGAAGGGCCAGAGGAGCAGAGGAAGGGCCAGAGGAGCAGAGGAAGGGCCAGAGGAGCAGAAGAAGGGCCAGAGGAGCAGAAGAAGGGCCAGAGGAGCAGCAGCAGCCCCTGCAGGAGCAGCAGCAGGCCCAGAGGGATGCATTTCCCGGCGGTACAGGCAGCCCTGCTGCTGCTCCCTGCCTCGCTGCTGGCCGCGCCGGGAGCGCCGGCCCCGGGCGCAGGGAGAGCCGCCAGCCTCGGGGAGATGCTGCGGGAGGTGGAGGCGCTGATGGAGGACACCCAGCACAAGCTCCGCAATGCCGTGCAGGAGGTGAGGGGTGAGGGGCTCTCTCCCCAGGGTCTCCCCGCTCGTTCCCCGAGCAGCGGCCCGAGCGCTCCGGGACAGACGGACAGGGATCGGGGCTGTCCCCAGCCGGGGCTCAGGGCTCCCAGTGCCCCCGAAACCCCCCGAAAAGCGGCTTGCTCGTGATGGAATTGCGTGTGCTGATCTCAAATTGCTGGCCCGGAATCGCACGGGACCCGTTTCACAGCCGGGAACTGAGACCGAACCCAAAGCCATGGTCTCGTATGGCTGTCAAAACACCCTGTCCCTGCACTCCCCTTCTTGTGTGCTTTTTATTCCCGTTTCTGGTGAGAATCTTCCTTTCAACTTCTCTTTTCCTCTCGTTCAAAAATCCTTAGTCTACAAAACCCTTTAACTGGCAGCCTGCTGCAGAAACAGACCTTGGTGTGCTATAATGAGATAATTTCTGAACTTTTGCTGTCATCCGGAACCTACCTCTGTTATCCTCTTCATTTGGACTGCAGACACATTGGAATAAACCATTCCTCACAATGCTGCTTAGGGATGGAATCACAATTCCTGCCTGTTTTACTCTACAGTCAGTGCTGGACTGAGGAAAGCTCTGTGTGCAGCACAAGGCGTGAATTGTTTGAGCAGTCTTAGGAGATAAATGGTTTGTGCTTAGAAAGGTTTGCAGCTGCTGCTTAAAACAAACAGACACGCCAAAAGGAGAGGTTTTGCCTAGGGAAAACTCCTGTTGTTCATCCTGGTTGAGCTGGCGGCCTCCCAGCTCTGCCCCAAATAAAGGACACGGTTTGTTCCTGTGTGTTTCCAGGATTCACGCCCTTCCTCACCCCACAGGGACAGCAGAGGATGAAATTCTGATACGTGCACCCCCCTCATCTATAGGGCTGCCCCTGTTGGCTTCAGGGGATTTTGTTTCTCTCCCTTGCCGGGATATTCTCCCTCCTGTGTCAGAATGGAAGGTCTGCCTGAGGCTGTCAGTGGTTTTCTGTGAGGAACAGAGCGCTGGGCTCTCCTCTGACACTGATACCAAAGCTGCCAGTCCTGCACCCTTCCTTCCCTGCCAGGGACTGACTTTGGCTTCAGCAGCTCAAGGGTTGAGCTCAGCCCTGTTTGTGTGGCCCATTAAAAGCTGCTCTGGGCAGGGTTTGGCACTGGGGGCTGCACAAGAAGCGTGGCTTGGTCTCTTTTGTGATATTTCTGCTAATTTTCAGTTGTTTGGTTGTTTTTTTATCTTAATTTGGCAGATGGAAGCTGAGGAGGAAGGGGCAAAAAAGCTGTCAGAAGTCAGATTTGAAGATTTACCTCCCAATTACCATAACGAGTCCAGCACAGAAACCAGAGTGGGCAACAGAACTGTTCAGACTCATCAGGAAATTGATAAGGTATGAGAAAACTTGTACATGGTGAGCTCTCCATCCTCACACACCTTGTCTTCAAAGAAACAACCCAGTTTTACATGTTTATTCACAAGGTAATTTGGAGTGTAAATTTTCCTGGTGATAGTTACTCTGGGGTTTGATTGTATCTTCTGAGCTTGACTAGTGTCAAGGAGAGCTGTCATGAAAGGTTAGAGTGAAATAACAATTCATTTTGGAAAAAGGGGAAAATGGGACTGAGCTGCAGCAGTTACATGGGAATGAAAACCCAACCTTCTCCTGCTCAGCTGGCTCCTTTGCAGTGCCATTTTAAACAGACAAGGAGGCAGCTCTGTCATCCACTTTCCCCCTCAGATTAGGGTTAATAAGGGTGGCAGCAAAATGGGAGAAAAGAGGGGGTGGGAGTGGGTTAATTATTGCAGGATTTGGGACTGAGAGTAACAAAGGACTAATAAAAACTGAAGTTTGATGTTTTGTTCTTTCCCTGTATCAGGTCACAGATAACAAAACTGGATCAACAGTTTTTTCTGAGACAGTTATTACATCCATAAGAGATGGAGAAGACAAAAGGAACCATGTAAGTAAGCACATTTATTTCCTTTGGAAGACCAAACAAATACTTTGGGTTCCCTGTTCAGAAAAATGTGTCAGAGTTCACCAATAAAATTTTGGAATGTTCTGAAACACACACAACCATTGGGGTAAGCAAATGTTTGTGTTTTTAAATTAGTTTAACTTAGGAACACTGTGACTTGGAAACAGAGTTAATGCACATGTTTGAATATTCAATTTGTCTGTCAAATGTAAATGTTAAATAGCAAAGATAGTTACACAGCCCTTCCCAGGGACTGTGGGTAAATCCTTACTATAACACTGAGCTTGTCTTCCATTAGAAAAAAACACTTTATGGATTTTAACAGTTGAAATAACCCCAAATCATTTATTTATGAGGAATCTTTGGAACAACATCTGGCTCTATTTGCTTTCCAGCCTAACTCAGTGATGGACAGCTGGCCATGAAATGTCACTTTGAGGAGAAGGGAGAGAGATGGGACAATGAATCCCCCTCCCCTCAAAATATGGTTGTTTAAGGACTCCCAAAGGAGTTTAAAAGCTCAAGAATGTTCTTTACCCGAGTCTTGCAAGCACAGGAACATTTGCTAAACGTCAGTAGTCACATGAGAAATTCAGCACTACTTTAAAAAATTGGCTTTTCATTGGTTGTAGTCTTACCAAAATGGTTCTTTTTTGTGCTCTTGCTAAGACTGGGCTGGCCAGGTTTCCTCTGATAGCTGGCTTCATCTGACTAATAGTTTGTGGTTTGATTTACTTCAACACACCCTGGCTTTCTTCAGAGAAACTTACCTCCAGTTCTTTCACTGAAGCAGCTCTGTAGCTATTTTATAAATATAACTATGGAAATTATTTTATAAATATAATGATGGAAAAATGATGTCAGTAGTTCCCATTTATAGAGGGCACAGAACCTGAAATTAGTGCCTCTTTTCTAAAGCTTTCCCTCTCACAGCTCATGTTTCTATACTGCTATTTCAATTTGAAAATGGCAAGTAGCAAAATACAGCACACACAAGCAACTTTACTTCTTTTTTTCCTACTATTTGGCAAAGCTTGTAGCTTAAGTGAACACCCGAGGTATAAAAATAAATTGTAACTATTCTAAACTACAGCTGATCCTATAGAAAGTGTTGACATCCCCCACAGTGCTTTTTGATAATGAGATTATGTGTAATGAAGACAATCCAAATGGGGTTTTTCCCAGGCAAAGGTGATCATCATCTTCAAATGCAGCACAAAACTTTTTAACCTTCTCAGCACTGCAGCACAGCACTGGTGGTGTTTCATAACGTGTTTGGCTTGCCTGTGGTGTCATTCTTCACACCCACTCCTCAATTAACAATTAACAATTAACAATTAACAGCACTGAGGTGCCTGACAGGAGTCAGGCTGAAAATGCTTGCAAACTTCCAGTGTCAAGGGGAATATAACATATTCCAGCAATAGAAATAATACAGCTTTTGCTGTTACAAGGGCAAAGAGATGTCGTGGGAGCGATGCAATTAAGAACTGGGGGATTTGGGTTGCAGTGAGGAGAAAAAAGCAGTGCTGGGGGGAGATGTGTGAAGCAGGAGAAAAGTTTTGGCCAAGTTCAAAGGCATTGTTGCTTAGATCTCTAAATTTAAGGCAAAAGTATTGGGAAATGAGTTGCAGGAAACTTTGCACTGGGCCTTTAGGTGTTTTTTCTGCAGACAGATTTTCGTACCTGAGGTTCTGTGTGACGTTGTGACGTGTCCTGGTCACTCTCTGGGCTTTGCAGACCAACAGGAGGTGGAAGAGTGATTCCATTGCCTTCACTGGCTCACTTTATAGGCTTTATTCACTTTACCTTATGAAACTTATGTGTTCCCACAGCTCCTGCTCTTTAGGTACAAAATTTGGGTGGTAAAAAGAAGAATTTTCCAAGCACCTTCACAAACCCCTTCCTGTGAAATATAAACTCAGTGTAATTTATTTCTGATAACTGGGACCCTGCACCTCCTGACTCTACATTTCTTTTCTGTGCTGACTTGTAAGCCTCTGAAATCCCTGGAAGTTTTTCATGTGACATTTTTGGCTTTGAGAGATGACACAAGAGCCTCACAAGGAGGCAAAGGAGTGTCTGCACTGCAATACCTGCAGTAATGGCAATAATCCACTTATTGGCTGGAATGAGAATTCCAGGGCTGGGGAAGCAGCTTTGTGGAAAAGAAATGCAGGTGGTGCCTGCATTTTTTAATTGAAACCCCAGTGCCTGTCCCCCTGCAGCAGATACCCATACACACACAAGCAGTGCATTGAAATAAAGGTGTGGAAGCAGGTGCATGTACCTGGAGTGCAGGTGTTACAGAAACACCAGGGGAGGTCCTGCACACACAGACTTTTCCTGGCAGACTGTTTCTCCCTGGCAGTGCAGCAGGGCTGGGCTGCTCCCCATGCCTGTGTGTGCTGCTGGCAGCTGGGCTCCTGGCCACTCCAGCAATGCAGCTCCATGCCCTGCATGGCTGGGAGGCTCCTGTGCATCCCCAGGCTCCCATTCCCTTTCTCAGGTGTCTCTGGGGGCTGGCAGCCACCCCTGCAGGCATCACTCTCCCTTCCAGTCAGCCATGCATTGGAATTGTACTGAAGGTGCAGGGTGGGGTGGGAGTTCTGGCTCTGTTTACTCCTTTCTCTGTCTGGAAATGACTCAGAGCCTGCTGCTGAATTTGGATCACATGAGGAATCCCTCAAACCTCATCCTTGGAAAGCCCAGGGGGAGAAGCAGTATCTCAGGGCATGTGGAGAGTTGGACATCAGTTTGCCATCGTGCTGTCAGGCAAAGCTTTAGAGGATTTCCTGGGTCTAAGATATCTCACAGCTGTCAGCAAGGGAAGGGTTTGGTCCCCTGGTGGTGTTTGCCTTGGACTCCATCCCTGGTGGAATCTGCAGTACATTCATGTTCTGACATCCCTTCTGGAAGGACACAGGGTGGGCTGCACACCCTTTTCCATTTCTTCCTCGTTTGTGTTCGTTTAGGAAATGAAATTTGGGTGGTAAAAAGAAGAATTTTCCAGGCACCTTCACAAACTCCTTCCTGTGGAAGGAAATGGGATGAATATTCATGAATAGTCATCCTCTCGTGCTGTTGATATCCTCTAGGCACATGATTTCAGATGGAAAATTAAATTAAAGGAAAAATGAAATGAAAGAGGCTCTTTTTTAATCCAAACAAATGCCCCAAAGAGGAGGTCTTGACAAAGCTACAAAAAGTCAACACCTGTGACCCAGATGCCTGCTCCATCCTTAGGCAGACATGGAGCTCATGTTCCCAAAATCCTCAAGGGCTGGAGATGATTTATCCCACTGCTGTTGCTGTAATTCAAACCCCTTCTTCTTCCATCTACAGCTCATGAAAAATAAACTATTCCATTTCTTCTATGGGAAAAGCAATCTTATACTGCCAACTCTGCCGTGGGCAAAATCCACTGAATGTGGGTCCTTACCAGGGCACTTCTGTTCCAGTGTTGTCATCTTTGGCTTAAACAGAGTTAAGCTGAAACCCTAGACTACCAAATGAAGTGTGTATAATGATACAGGAACAAAGCCCATAAGATTCAGGGTTTGAAATCAGTTCAGTGAGGGATGGGGCACAGGTCAACATCTTCCTCTCGGTGTGCTACTCTTGATTCAGTGCTGAAGCTCAGCCAGCAGCTGTTAAGCACAGAAATCTTGTTTTCAAAGGCTTTTCTTTCCCCCCAGCTGTTTCACACCCTCGCTGTGTGCCAGGTTTTATTTTGCAGCTCTGCAGAGCTGCCACAGCTCAGCAGTGAAGCACAGGAGCTTTGTGGCTGCAGTGAATCTCAGCTCCAGGGAGTGTCCCTGGCTCAGGGCTGTGTCTGTGTGAGCCCCAGGCAGCAGTGGCACTGCAGAGCTTCAGCACAGCCCTGCACAGGCTCCACCACTGCAGCCCAGCACACCTGGGGTCCAGCCCAGGCCACCAGAGCTCACACACATCTCCTGCTTATCAAACACCAGGGAGCTGTTCTCCCACCCACAGATCCACAGGTAGATGCATCTCTCTGTTAGGGCTGTTCATTACAAACTCATTAGGAAAACCCTGTTTATAAACATGCATCAGTGTTTTGACCTCACTTATACATAAATATACACACACACATAGACAGTCCTTTTCTCCTTTGCTGGTTAGATAGTCCTTGGTTTCCAGAGCAGGGTAATTACCTGTCAGATATGTCATTTATTTAATTAGAACAGTTCATCTCATGTGCCCACTTTGATATCACTGATATAACTGATTGAGATGAGTGCTTGGCACTGTGTTTCCAACACAGGAGAGTTTTAGAGGCTGTAGTCCTGCCGGGATCAGGTTATAATTACTGAGTGAAAAAGAAGAGTGAGGGAAGAAAATGAAGGGGCTGCTTCTGCAAAGTGACCTGCTGTTAAATTATTGCAAGGCATACAGAGAGATTTTGACCAAGAGTGAGCAGAGCATGATCTGAGAGAGCTCCTAGGCACCATTTTTCTCATTATCCTGAGGCATTTGCCAGGAATTTCTTTGGTTTTGTTTCTTTGGGTTTTTTTGGGTGTAGTTCCTTCTTTCATTGGAGTCAGCTCCTTGAAGCTGTGGGTGATATTTTATTTATTCCCTCTTTTGACATGGAGACCAACTGCATGGGGTCTGAGAGGACCTGATCAGTGACAAGATGTGATCAGTGACAGGATCTGATCAATGACAGGACCTGATCAGTGACAAGATGTGATCAGTGACAGGATCTGATCAATGACAGGACCTGATCAGTGACAAGATGTGATCAGTGACAGGATCTGATCAATGACAGGACCTGATCAGTGACAAGATGTGATCAGTGACAGGATCTGATCAATGACAGGACCTGATCAGTGACAAGATGTGATCAGTGACAGGATCTGATCAATGACAGGACCTGATCAGTGACAAGATGTGATCAGTGACAGGATCTGATCAATGACAGGACCTGATCAGTGACAGGATGTGATCAGTGACAG